CTGTCAAAGTTTTGTTGTATTTTGTACAATGACAATAAATCTAAATCTAATCTAATCTTGAACTAAGGTGAAAGTAGCTGTTAACAGAGCATTTGGAGCTTTAAAGATATAGACAGACTAATAATAAAGGTTTACTGAAACATATGCTCTAATGAAACAAAACAACTCCTGGTAAATTTTTGAGGAGGTAACAGCATTCGAACATGATTTAAAGCTCACAAGAGTCAATTGTGCATAATATAAGACCTTTAACTTCCAGTGCAAATAATTCAAAGATTCTAAATCAAATCAAAACCCAAAATCAAATTCAAAACCCACAACGCCTGCGTACATACACTGTGAAATATTTTGCAGCCCTACATGGTTGTTCTTACACCTTCTTTGCACATTGTGAGTTTGTGATGTGATAGTGAAAGAATCCTCCACAGCACAAAGAGGCCGTTAATTGCACATGTGGCGGGCAGATTTTGAGGCTTAGTCCGTCTCCGTGGGCGACGTGGATGGAGATGCCATGTGTGTTTAGACATCAGGGCTGCAGACTGTGGTCGGAGCAGCCGGCTCTCTCATTAACTCTCACAGCGTCTCTAATGAGAACAGAGGTGGAGCTGAGTTTGTATCGCCTTTTCCTGCCATGTGTATTGTGTGGCAACAACTGAGGAGGTAGAGTATTTCAAGGGCCCATACTACACTATTATTTTATCTCTGTTATAATATTGTATCCTCATCAAAAACATACCTGGAGTTTTGTTTTTTTTTCTTCACCCATGTTTAACTCACAAACCCTGCGTATTTAGACTGAGTTCTTTCCTGAAATGTAAAACACTGTTGCACCTTATGATGTCATGTGGTAAGAAAGGAAGTGCTCCACTGTGTTTTTAAACTTTATCCACTTTAACTAGAATAATTTGGGTGATTTCAGCCTTGAAATTGCCAATCTCTTGAATTAAAGGGAAAAGGTAGCTGTTAACTTGAAAACTACCTCTACATGACATCTCAAGGTGGAACAGAGCATTTTGAGTTTTAGAGATGTACAGAGACTAATGATAAAGGGTTATTTAAACATGTGTAAATGAAACCAAACATAACTCCAGGTATGTTTTTGAGGAGGTAGCAACATTATAACATGGCTTAAAGCTCACAAGAATCCATCCATCCAGAATCCAATTTTGTGAAATATAGAACCTTTAAGTGAGTGCACACTTCAACTTCAGAATAATATTTGCATGATTACAAGGGATGATATGTTTTTTTAGTATATATGTTATATATGTTTTATAGTATTTGTTGAAAATATACTACTACATTTGCCCACCAACTCAATGGTTTGTGGAGTGATTTGTAGTGATCAGAAGTGTCAGTGATACAAATTGGCTGTCTTGTTTTCATCAGTCTACCCCAGGGGAGATGTGACATAATATTTTACCATCATCAAAGGTGAAATAAGACTAAAAATAAACTTCATAGGAGAAACAGTAGCAGAATTTTGCCAAGAAAATGGTTATTTTCACATACATAGATTCATTTGGATAATTTCATCTCTGGTACTGCCAATCTCTACTGAACTAAGGTAAAAGGAGCCGTTAAATTGAAAACTACCACTACATGACATCATAAGGTTCGACAAAGCATTTTGAGCTTTGGAGATGTCGACAGGCTAATAATAAAGGATTACTCACACATGTGTGAATGAAAAAAACACAACCCCAGGTATTTTTTTAATGAGGTAGCAACATTCTAGCATGGCTTAAAGCTTGCAATAATAATAATAGTAATAGTAATTTTGCACTTTAAAAATCTAAACGTAAGAAGTATATATGATGTCATTGCAAAGTTATAAAAGTATAGTGTAGTAAATGCACCTTAGCTCTGGGCACCATCCTGTTTCACTCCAGCATGACGTCCCTGATAGCTCCAGCTTAATTGCACGGTCTTGATTGATGTGTCTCATTACACAGGGACCTTGTCTTTCATTTGGAGGTGATTATACCTTTTCTGCTGGCTGGAGGCTGCCGATGGGAAGAATCAATGGTACGCTTTGATGTTCGTCAGTGCAGCAGAACAGTGCACCTCAGTATATACGCGCTCCCTCTTCCTCTTTCACACTGGCCTTCATTAAGACACTGGATTACAAAGGCAGGAGATAAAAGCACCAGAACACAGAGGAAACAACAACTTGGCGATGTGTGGAGGTCTGGTTTTCCACTGCGCTTGTATGTGGTGATGAAAGACTTGTAGATGGGAGCAGGACCAGTTGTCTTCCAGAATCCTTGGAGAGTCTTTAGAAAATCTTTACCTCTGCTGAGAAGAAGATAGAGCTTATCTGCTCTTAAACAATCACTATTCTTTATCACCAACTTTCTCGTCTTTGGTTTTATATCTTTGCTCTTTTTTCAAGCTCATAGTTTGAGAAAATTGGATTCTGCTCTATATCCCAAAGTCATTTTATTATATAAAGGCGCACTACACAAGAGATCGATATGTTTAATACCATACTGTGGAACATTTCAAGAAAAGGACCTTTTTACATTTGCAGTGACATCATTTCAATAAGCTACTCTGTCACAATATTTGTTTCCATCATTCTATGTTGCTTAAATTTCATGCTAAGATCTTTTATCGATGTTGGGAGAATAGGACCAAGTATTCTTGAGCACATCCCAAAGATTCTCATTGGTAGTTTGGGCTTTGCGGTGGCCAGTCCATGTGGGAATCCTGGGAATGTCATCTTGGAATGTGCCTGTGCAAATGATTGGATCTTGATCTTTAAATAAAATCCCATCAATTGCATAGCGCTGCCTACTGTACACTGGTTGTATTGCATATTAATCATAGACTGTGTGGCCTAAGGGAGGCTGACATCATCCAGTGTTGGCTCCAGTCAAATGAAGCCACCAAGCCCAGCAGTTATAGGGGCAAATTTGGAGCGGAGTTCCACATTAGAAATAGGAATTGATTTATGGGCAAAATGGCGAAATAAAAACAGGGAGAGGGACAATTTTTTAATACATTTATATATACAGGTCATTCCCAATAATTTTCCCAGCCCTGCTCCATTCAAGTCCCTCTATTTCTCCAGACTAATTTGTATATTCTTTCTTTTTGATGTCTCTTGTGGCCTATTTACGTGAGGGGCGTCTGAATCATAACCCTGCACCATCCCTGGCCCCCTACCCTCCCTCTCCCCTCTCACACTGAAGGTCATGGGCAGATTACAGGCTGAAGGTATCATCCTCTGAAGTAAGGAATAATCACTGCCTTTGAGATTGTTAAATCGAACCACAGGCCTAAGCGCTGTCATTACTTTGAGTTGAAAAAAGAGGGAGGGGGGTACAGAGTGAGAGAGAGGGGCTCCTTCCACTTAAATACATTCAGATGTTCAGCTTCTCAGCTCAAGGTACACGAAGTTCTTTTGGGGTTTTTTGTAAGCATCTATCTGTTTTTTATTTATCCGGTTTCTAAAATTTGAGGTTTTGATTTCAAAGTGTGCACAGAGCGGCTTGTAGCGCTGGGGGATGACGTAAATGGGATGAATCATTTGTTGTTTAAATACTTGTGGGTTTAGGGCCGAGGCTGCACTTAATTTTCATTGTTTCCACCGCACAGTTTTAATTATTAGTTGTTTGCGTGTGTGAATGTGCAAGCAGATGTGTGTAAGAAAAAAGCTGACATGATTTTTGTAGTATTAAGTCCTGTTTGTGGACCATGAGAAATTTCGCCATATAGTTTTTGTGGTATATAAATTATTCACATATGACAGCATAACCCTTTTCTTCTTATTGCGTCCTTCTACCCTTTAGGCCCCCTTTTGTTTTACAACTGTATTTAATCAGTCCCATCCTATCTGCCTGGAAATTTCCATCTGGCAATTATTCTCCATTGAAAATAAATACACATGTTGCCGTGGGCTCATTGCGTGGTTTGTTTCACATAAACCAAATGTTAAATGTTCTTTTGGAGTCAGAACTTTTTGAACTAAACTTTTCCTAAACTGTGGATGTCTTCCTTTTGTTTGAATCTTTCTGAATGTTTCAAATCAAGTAAAATGAGAATAAGCGGTGTCGAACCAGCTTGCATGCAGAGGTAGGTAAACCGGAGTAGCCAAAGATTGTACTCAATAAAAGTACTGTTACTTCAAAACACTGTTACTCAAGATGAAGTACAGGGTGGTCCAAGAATTTACTCAGGTAACAGCAAAAAAATGATTGGGAACTATTACTACTACAATCTTTTTGGACATAAAACCTAATATATATTTTGTAGTTTATGTAATTTGATAGAAATAATAATAATAATGATGCACAAAATGTGGTATTTTCCAACACTATAGACTCCGAAATGAGAAAAACAAAATAATAATTGAAGAAGGGATATAAGAAGCCTAAATGTTCAAATATTGCCAACATAAAGCTTTTGTGGACTTACTCACAATTATGGCTAGAGAGTAACAGGCAGGACTTACACTGTAGAAGTAAAAGTATTGTGTCTCAAAACTACTCTGAGAAGTATAATTTTGTTAAAAAAGTAAGTGAGCCCTACCCACCTCTGCTTGCATGTTAAAGTGTCTGTTGTAGTTTGATGGATGTGAGAGAGTTGGAGGGGGCTCTGAAGTCGTGCTGTGAAGGCAGACAGTGAAACACAATAAGAGTGCAGATGTTCAAAGGACCTGGGCCTCTTTTTCTTTAGAGGAGGAAATGCTTTGAGGAGACTGTTTGTTTTCTCTGTGTCTGTGGTCTGAACTGTAGATTCACTTACATTTCTAACGCCACCCTCTTTTCCCCTCTCTCTCTCTCCTTCTCTTTCTCTCTATTGCCCCTCTTTCCCACCCCCCACCCTCTCTCTCTGACTCCATCCCTTCCTTCTCTCTCTTTCTCTCTTTTTCCTTCTCTCTCTCTCTTTCTCTTGCTCTGTTTCTTTCTCTCGTTCTTCTCTCTCACTCTCTTTCTCTCTTTTTCCTTCTCTCTTTCTTTCTCTCTCTCTCTTCTCTCTCTTCCATGTCTCAGGAGTTTCCAAATGGAGAGCTGAAGGAGGGGCAGTTCATTGATCAACACTGTCCCCTAGAGGGTAAGATGAGAAATCTATTCTCTGGTGTTTGGATGTTTGCACTAAAAATAGAAAAGCTAACTTGTGCATGAGTTTTGTGTTTATTGATGTCTTTTAATTATGCATTTCACATATGAATCACATCTAAGAAATGTCTTCTGGGACTGACTTCAAGTTAAACATAACACATAAATGGGGCATGGTTATTTATACTGGCCCAAAATATGTAAATACACATGGAAAAGTATGGAAATAATACTTACACTTTACATTTGAATTTGTATTAGGCTCTATTTTTGGTTATTTCTTTGGACAAATGTGCGTTTGATTCACCCTTTCAGCAACACAAACATTTCTGTAAGAATTCGATTTGAAATACAAAATACAAAAGAAAATGTACTTTTTTCTACAATCTCTGATGATGTTAAGTGTGTCTTAGCTAAATATTGGTTAAATGTATCTGTTTGTCGTGTGCAGTGGTTCTTCCTCCTGAGAAAGGCGAGGGCTGTGAGAGTTACCTGCAGTACATGCACACCGAGGACGGAGAGCGGGAGATGATCAGAGACGCCACCAAAGCACCGGGCAAGAAACGCATCAGTCTGGATGTAAGTGCACCGATTCAGTAAATCTATGAAGTCATACAAGTCTAATTTACTGCTTCATAATCTATAAACAAAATGAGGACCAACTTTGTATTTTCTTTTTTGTTTTTCAATGTTTGATTTTATTGAAAGGAGCAGTACACTTCCAACACATATAGTAAAACAACAGTGTTCTTGCTTATCCATTTTAAACTTACAAAAAACTTGGGACATTAATTGAAATAACAGCTGTGCATATTATTTTGTATTATTGTAAACAACCATCCTCTTGGAAAAGGACTGAAAAGCTGAAAGACTAAATAATGAAATAAGCATTGTATTTGAGCCAAACTGTCCTAAATAAAAGAAAGATGAAATTTGTGGAAAACACTGATGTGACTCTTTTTTCTCCTCTCAGGACATGGAGTGTGATGTGTCTGTGGAGGATGATAACAGACAGGAGTGGGTCTTCACACTGTATGACTTTGACAACAGCGGCAAAGTTACCAAGGAGGTGGGTTACTGTTCAAGGAGTTGAATTAGAATGTTTCGAAGTCACATGAATGCCAAATTATTTATGAATTTCTGTTTCTATTTTTGTTTATAGTGACGTTTTGAGCGCATTTGCCCTTTAAAAAAAATTTAATATTTTGTTTTGAATAATTAATTGCTATTGCAACAGTGCTATTTTTTCTTCACTCTGAAATCCATAGATTAAGATGTGGCATAGACAAACCATAAAATATACAGTATAGGGTTTAAGGAATGAACTTATCCCATCTGAAATGTGTTTTACAGGACATGTCCAGTCTCATGCACACCATATATGACGTGGTGGATGCGTCTGTCAATAATTCCTACCACAATAAGAGCAAGACACTGCGCGTGAAGCTGACGGTGACTCCGGAACCCAGGAGCCACCGGAGGGAAACAGCAACAGGTAAATAAAAAAGTAGCAAAAGCACATTTTCATACAGTTATTTTTATGTTTGGGTTAATCTGAAACTGTTATGTGCAGACCGGGGTCACCAGGAGGAAGGCCGGTCTGCTGACAAGAGACACTCAACGTATATAAGGTTAGTCAGTACAGTTCTACATTAATTGCCCTTTCATTCAATAATTCAAATTCTTCTCTATTCTATCTATATTGGTGTTGTCATGACACTAAAACTGGGGTAGGAAAGTGCTTGTTACTCAGTACCCAATCAAGTTACAATAATGATATTAAAAACAGTGTTTTTATGCAATAGAATGTATTTTTTAACACAGAATATTGATAGTATCTCAAGTAGTCAAATGAACAAGAAAATGCAAACCAAAGTTCTTGTAGAGGTGCAAATACGAGGAAATCTTTGGCTTACTGATTGTGCTATACATTTTTTCAATTTTATAGTATCTCAAGTAGTACCATATATGATCTTACACTTACTCCAATAAGAGATGTTGTCCTCTTTATGCTTTTTTCAGTTTCTTTCTTATTCAAATGAGTAGCTAGTTTCAGTACTTATTTTTATTTGCTTATTTTCTCAGCTGTTTTTAAGTAGCTTTAAAACCAGTAGCTTTTAAAACTATTGTCAAATCCAGTAAAAGTCTGTATTTCCCCCTTCTCAGCAGCAGAGGGCAGACCATCGAAGCCCCCGCTGCAGAAGGACAACATTACTGTGTGGATGAAAACACAGAGAGAAGGAATCACTACCTGGACTTGGCTGGGATTGAGAACTACACATCCAGATTTGAAGGTACATTTTCCCACTATTTTACTGACTATAAAAGAATTGTTAGTTTGCAAAAAAAATAAAAGGTTTCTCAGTTAGATTTTTTTCCCTCTTTGATACCTTCTTCTGTCTATATATGGATTTGCTCAAGAAGCGGTGTCATAATAACTTTTATTGCACAAAAATATATGGTCTTTTGAAAACACTGCAAGACAAAGAATAAATTGAAAGCCTTCCACACTGTTGTTTTTGTCTTTGCCAACAGTTTCTAAAGCTACAAGTGTTTGAATGTTATTACTGTATTATTTAATGTATTATGATTTGGGGAAGAATTATCAAAAAGCTTTAATTTGTGTGTGTGTTTATGAATATATTGAGTTAAAAACAGACCATGACACTATTCTTTTCAACATTTGTGTTTTGTTTTTTGTTTTTTTGTTTTTTGGATAGTGTCTATTCCTATTAAAATATCATAAAAATCATACAGTCATATAGGCTCCTGTCATCTCTTTACTGTACTGTTTGCATTTTGTCCTTAGGAACCCCTACCGCTGTTCCCCCTCAGGACCCCCACATCAGAAACTCCCACAGCCAAAGTCGCTCCCGGTCCCACGAACCAGAGACACAAGTGGCTCACCAGCGCCGCTCACAGGTCATCAGCGATAACTACAACCCTGCAGATTTCCGTGGCAAAGGAGGTGCACAGTTTGTAAAATCTCCCAAAGGAAACTACAAGGGAAACAACAACAGTGGAGGCAGCAAAACGGCCAAGTGCCACGGCCACCACACTGGTCAGGATGTGTACCACCTGCCCCCCCAAGCTCAAATCTCCAACCATCACCAACACCCGCTACAGTACAGCCACAGCAAGCGACTTCGGGCCAAAAACAGGGAGTCACCATCCAAAACGCCCCTCTCCCCTCAACCCCAGCACCCACAGCACCCTCAACACCCTCAGCACCCCCAGCCCGCGGTTCCCTCTGTTCTGCCCAGTGCGGAGAGAGAACCTGGGAGTCCCGGATTTGTGGTTCCCGTGGTCCAACGTCACGAGCACCATCATCATCACGAACATCATCATCATCACCACTACCATCATTACCACCAGACATGACTGCCTTAATATCAGTAAGAGAAAACAGACCAACTTCCATAGAACAAACTGAGGACTTCACATCCCATGGAGCACAACAGTGGACATGTGTCTGGTTTTAGGGTAAAAAAAAAATATATTATCATATTCACCATGAACGTTTTTGAATAAATATATTTTGGGGAGCCTAAATAAGAATCTGGCAAACCTTTTGGGACTATATACAAACTTCAGGCTGATTTAACAATGCATTTTGAATGTTGTCCTCATAAATATTTGATTCATTTCTTATTTTCTGTGCATTTGTGCGTCAATGTGCCTTCCATGGATGTGTGGTCTCTTTGTAAATGTCTTTGGTATATCTAATTATATACTGAATGAAGAGTTTAAAGACATGTCTGAGGCCAACCAGCTATGTGATAATTAATGAGCATAGTGTAATCCTATTCCATACCCCCCAAAATATTGCAAAGTTCAAAATACACTGAAATATTATGGGTTATTACCTTTTTGGAAATGGGAACAATTAAATAGGACTGCCCACTGTTGAACTCCTTAGGATCAGTCTGGATTTTTATATTCCTATTGTCAAGCTATATTTGGATGTATGCTGGGAGTTAGTGAAGATCGTTTAAACTAAAACTGAACTAGAAGGATGTTTATGAAGCTATTGTTGTGTATTAAGTCTATGTGGCACAGTTTGTATGAATACCTGCTGGGACTGCATCATTATTCAAGTTATTTTGAAAACCATAAAGCTACCAAGCTGATGTTATACTTTCCTTTTAAAGTGGGACTAAACACCAAATCAGCTTTTTTGTTAATGAACTGTGTATATGGTATTTTAGTGGCATATATCTACTGTTTCTAGTTATTTTTTGCCATCTCTTTGCAGACTACGAGAGTTTCACACCAGAAAAAAAATCCAAAAGTATTTTAAACTGTCTAACTTCTCTATAGTTCTATGGTTAATATCGACATGTGTTCATTTTCTAACACAGGCACAGCTTTAGAACAGCTTTGTTCAGGCAGTAAAGTGAAACTGGGGCTGTTATTGTCCCTTATTATTAATTGAAGACAGTGCGCAGTGTTCTCATTTTGTTACCAAGTGCTGCTTTTACAATATACTGTACTCTTTAAATTTGCTAATTAACAAAATCTTTACTCTCCCCTTTGTTCCTCTTGGCACTGCCCAGTTTAACAGCTCAGTTTTGACTGTGGTTGTGAAAAAAGTCTGTAAAAGTGATGAGGTACAGTAGCAAAAAAAATTTTAATTTAGTGTTTAGTCCCACTTTAAAGCTACTGGTTAACAACCTTTGAAGCTAACTGTCAAACTAGAGGTTGTGTCGGTCAGTGGCACACATTTCCAAAAACATGGATCTCAGGTGTAAAGGTGCTGCTGCTCCCATGGTTACACAGGGGCTGGGGTCTTCTGGGGACGACCAGCTGTGGACTAAGGGACGGGATGGGGTTGAAATCACCACTGCCAGTTTTAATGCAAAAATACCTTGCTATATGTATAAAAAATCTATATATGTAAACACATTTTACTGTATAATTATACTGTATATGCATATTTCATCATGAATATAATTATGCATATTTGTATTTTGTCTTTTATATATTTTAATAAACATTATATAGTTAACATATTTTGTCATCAATTAAGATTTTTTTCTTAAACCATTAAAATCGCTCCATATAACTAGTCTCACGATACGATATCGTCACGGTATGAACCTCGCGGTACGATATTTATTGCGATATTGTGGGAAAGCTCACGATATGGTGGAGAGGCTCACAATTAGGGATGTAACAATATCCAAATCTCTCAGTATGATATTTTCACGATATACATCTCACAGTAAGTTACAATATTTATTGCGATATTTTGTGGAGGCAAACAAAATTGAATATGCTACTTTCTTGTTGTGATGGTCCACAATATTACTGTGAGAACTTTGACGACACAATATCACGATATTTCGGTTATTGTTACATCCCTAGTCTAGAAAGTTTGATAAGTAATGTGACATTATACGTATACATAAGCAACTGACGCCACCTGGCCATGTTACAGGTCAGATCTGTGGAAAGATAGCCTTGCTCACAGTTAGAATGGCTGTTTCAAAATTGCATAGGCTACAGTGAGATAGAGCATTGTGTTGGAACATAAACAATATAAATGCTGTTGGGCAGTTTGAGGGGTTAAGTGACAGGAAAGGGGTATTTTAACACCAATATTTTTCATAATTGCATATCATGTACTATAGATATGAAATAGCCTAATAAAAATATTGTAATGTTGCCAGCTGAAAAGCTTTGACAGTTCTTTCTATAGACACCAGATGGCGACAAATACCCAATAATAATAATATCCAACTTACGCGCCAAGATTACTGAGTACGGCTCTCTGCTAATCAAGTGTAAATATTTAAGTTAAAACACCGTATTAGTAAACAAACATTTTGATAAGTTTGTGGCTGTAACTTTCAAGTGAGTTAGATTAGCACGTATAGATCACTTGGGAAAATTTGTCTTTCATGTTTCAAACTTTTTAGCTCCTGTGTATTTACTTTTTCTTGTCATTTTATTCACACACATCTTGTCAAATAGTCTACTGTTTAAAAGATTATTGTCCCAAGTCTCTTTCTATAGGATGTTTCTGTGTGATTTCACATGAGCTCGCCTAATTGGTGGCAGAGCTCGGGTAAAGCTGCAGGCATTCTCCGCTCCGGTCGTCAGGGATTTGGGAAAGGACTGAATCCGAGCCCCGACTGCGACAAACAATGGCCGCTATGAAAGGCGAGGGGAGGGTCGGCCTAATGCAAATATCCACCACTACTTTGTGCGCCTTGGAGCGAACCTGCGCCTAAACACTGACAACTGCGTATTTCCACTACGTAAGTCCCACTGCAGACCATCAAAAGCAAGTTGTGTATTGGCATGTGTATTAGCATTGTGTATTTGACATGGATTTAATTTTTTCAGCAACAAATGTTCAACTTTTCCAGCAAGAAAATGACAAGAAGCAATGGCGAGGGAAGGACCATCCCTGACGTGCACCTGCTGAGGACCACATAGACAGGTTTGCGCGCTACCTTACTCTCCAATGTTTTCAAGTTGTCACTTATCAGTCTTAATTTGATCAACATTACTTTCTTGATGATCTTAATTGCTTTTATTTGTTTGCGTAAAGTTACCAAATTATACAATAGTGAACTTCTGCAGGAGCGTCCAGGAGTTTTATTGCGGGGGTTTGGTGAAATGTGGTTGCCCCCTAAGTACAGATAGACAGGCCTTTATCCTACAAGTCTTGCATGAGAAAAGCTTTGCAACATAATAGATCAGTGGGAGACAGTGTCTGCTCTAAACAGGAGGGAGCCTCTCTTGTATTTTCGCAATGTCAGATGTCTGAGAGTGAAGCGTGCGTAACTTAAATTGGGGTTAGTTTTAGTCAGTCACTCTTTACTGTGTCTCAACATCAATCATCCGTGCTTTCTATTGGTTTGTCAGGAGAAAGTAATGTGCTCAAATGCTACTGTAAAGCATACCATATCCCCCTAGAGGAGACTTCAAAGTGGGCACAACGTGAGGCCTTTATCGGAACAATTGGTCCATTCTACCGCTGCACCCCAAACTCCAGGACCACCCCCTCAACTCCCTGCTCCCCATTTCCACTTGATTAAGCTCCAAGCTCAGCACAGTCCCAAGGTCCGAAGGGGAAAAAAACCTTCACTAATTCTGACTGAAAGGAAAAGAAGAAGAAGACGGCACTGTTTAGTCTGTTTAGGATTTGGTTCATTAGGTAGACATGTGTTTTTTCCATGCTTGTAAGATAAATATAGAGAACTGTGATCATGATGACAGGAAGATAAAGAAAGATAAAGAGAGAAGTTCATTTATTACACTACAGATGTAATAGAGAGCATGCATTTATTTAGAAATACATGAGCGATATTTTTCAAGACAATTGATCTAGATGTAGCTTGATCTTTTTCTTGTACTGATCAATCACTTTATAACATACCCACTCTAATGTTTTGTCCAGTTGACACAATTTATTTAACCTTCTTTTGCTATTCCCTTAATAAGGTTAATGAACATAGACATGTTTTAAAATTACCTTCTGCTTAAATAACTTATGAAATCTTTTACCCCGTTGCACTTTACACAAAATTAATCTAATTTACTCCTCAAAAGAATGCTTCTTCACCAAGATTGACAGGTGATGTTTCGATTAAATAATAAATTGAGGTGCACTATGTAATAGAGGATCACTGTCTACTACCTGTCTATCTTGCATTTATTCAATTACAGGTATTTTATTTATATAGTTAAAAGTATTTAGTAGTTTTAAAATGGTTGCTACTACTTGTTCAGTCCGTCCTTGTGGAATAATTTCTTTATAACATTACTCAAAAAACACTTGATAAGGCATTTTCCTGAACAGATGCACCAAATTGGATGTGTGAACAAATTACATGAGTGAAAAGTGTAATTATTAGTCACTTTTTACTGAAATGTATTTTGTTAACTACTAATAATATTCTTGATAAATTCTATGTAAGTAAATATTGACCTGAGAAATTAGGATAGCACAACTAGATCCTTACACAAGTTGAAGTACAACTTAGCCTTACGCTTTGGTACCCACTTTTCTAAATGACACCCATGGCTATTTATGACAACTTTTTACAACTCTTGAAAAAAAACAAAAAAAAAACAGGCACCACTCCTCCTTGAGAGTCTCTTTTCTTACCACCAAGGGCCTTTTTGAACTGCACCTATTTAATTGCAAATCACATCTCTGCAGACGTTCACTCCTCTTTTTTCCCCAGTTGGTTTTACAGTATTTGTGAGTAATTACCTCTATGGGTTCAGCGCAAGCAGAGGCCGGCTCCGGACCACTGTACAAATTCTCGCTGGGGTGGTGGGGTTGCCTGGAGATAAGCGGCACTACATGAAGGCTGTCTGCTCCTCTCTTGTCCACCTCCCTCTCCCCCTCTCCCCTTCTCCTCCCTCTCTTCTTACATGTCTTCTGCATACTAATAGGCCAGACAAAGCTGATTGCAAACAGGCTTGTCAAGCTGATTATTAATATTCCGCACTTTAAGAGCTTTCACTGGGGTTTATGGAAATCCACACCATTGTTGTTAGAAATATAGGCTTATTTTCCCACGTTGGACACATGAGGAAGAGGGAATGAGCTCTCTTCAGCCAACTTGGCTCTACTGCCGGCTAGACTTTCACTTCTTTTGCTCACTAGTTACTGTAGGGAGCCTTTTTCGTTAATTTATTATCATCTGTAGGAAAGTCACAATAGAGCTACACATTTTGGTTAAAAAGGTGATTTATAATGCAAATTTGAATTGAGATATTTGTTTAGAAAGCAGGATTCATTTTACACAATGCACAAGTTTGATTCAGTTGTGATATTTTGTCATAGTATCTACTTTTCTTTACATCATTGCCAAACCATGAATGTGCTTTCCATTGGTTGATTATGTGATTAGTTTTGTGAAAGTTAAGTTATAGTAAATATTACATATTATAAACAGCCAGATAAAAACACTTTCTACTACTTTTGTGGAATATTGACTGAATTACCTCTAAATTTATTTTCAGTGAACTACATGGTGTTATAAAAACATGATTTAAATGTTTATAGAAACCACAAATATTTACCCTAGCAGTATCCACATCGTTTTACAAACCTATCTGTGCTTTATCTTTAAACAGGAAAGTCTCGTTTTTTCTCAGCAACATGCAAGTAATCATTGTATTCTGGACTAAACATGGCATGTAAGACTTTGTAAGGGAAATATGTCACATAGGACAACTATCCGTTCTCTGCTGTTCCAAATTATGATGGCCAAAAATATAATTTACAAACTATTCTGTTATTGGTGGAGGAAATTGTAATAGTGATAACACATGAAGTGGTAGTGGTAGAAAAAATGTTACTTCTTAAATTGAGATAACTTCATATTTTAAGTGTAGAGCTATTAGTAGTAATGTCTGTATCAGTAGCAGCAAAGTTGATCATTCTGGACAGTGCATACAGATGTTGTGCCTTGAAGCCATACACGTCACCTGTCTTTCATAAATACTGAGCAATGACAATAAACACTTAACAATAACTTTACAATTTTAAATATTTTTCCTTAAAGGACCTATATTACATACCTTTTTGATCTATGTTGTAATGTAACATACCTGGAATTTTGTTTAGTTTTGTGTTATTCTCAAATCAAAAATGCTCTGTTCCATCTTGTAATATCATGTGGTGACACAGCAAGTGCTCCACTGTGTTTTGAAACCCCATGCACTTCGCTAGAATCATTTGGGTGATTTGAAATTGCAAATGACATGACATTACAAGTAGAACAGATTATTTTGAGTTTTGGAGATGTTGACAGACTAATAAACCATATCCGGGTATATTTTTAATAAGGTGACGACATAATAAAATATTTTGTGTGATATAGGACCTTTTACTATACAAAATTTCCTTGACCTTGTTTCCTTATCTTTTTTTTTATTTATTTGTTTTGTTTATTTGTTTTTAATGTTTTAATTGACTCAACTTGAAAACTCCACAGCCTTCCTGACATTGAGCTTGCTCCTCAATGACAAAGCACTTCT